GCAGGGCCATGCGTCGTGGCTTCTGTTTGACTGGCTTGTGCGCCGGGTCAACATGCAGCTTGTGCGTGATTATCTCGGGATCTACCCCCGTCATTTTCATTGCGTTCCAAGCGAACACGTCTGTATTTTCCCTTAGGAACTCAATCATCTCCTCCTGTTCGGCTGCGGGCATCGCGGTCCCAACTAAGAAATATCTTTCTTCTTCTCCTTCCACCAAGGGCACCTTCCGGAGGTCCTCCACCGACTACTCAGTTGGGTCTATCCGGGGGTCATCCATTCCTGGACGCCCGGACTGTGATTGCTATTTCTCCATGATCTCTTCCGGGGCTCGCCCCTTTTCTTGGGTGAACGCCCCGACTCTAACAGCTGAATAAAAATAATTTTTTGCGGACGCTTGGTTCCCCCGAATCTCCATGATACCTTCTGGCATGACAAATTTTAGTTTCTGGTGGTAAGTGGAGTGCACCGCTCCCAACGCATGCAGCCATGTTCGCCCCATGATCACGTTGTAGGGAGAGTCCGTATCAATTACGACAAACTCGGTGTTGATGACGAAGGGACCCGTGACAACTGGCAATGTGATTTTGCCTACGGGCAGGGCGAACGAGCCGTTGAATCCGATGAGGGGTGTCCTGACCTTGGTGAGGTCCTTGAGGTCAAGACCCATCCGTTTTAAAGTCTCGGAGTACATCACTTCCGAGGAACTTCCAGAGTCTATCAACACCCTTTTGACGTCGAATTTTTTTATCTTCAGGGTCAAGACAAGGGCGTCGTTATGAGGAGTCACTACGCCTGTCAAGTCCGCGTCGGAGAACGTGATGCTGGGCTCACCAGCCCTGGCCCTTTTACTGGGTGGCCCTCCATCATCCTCGGCTACCTTCCTTGTAAAAGCTACCCTCTTGAGGTCGGACTCGAGTTCCTTGGACGTGGAGCGATCCAGGGGACATATATGGATGACATCTATGACGTTGTCCGGCTCCTCGGTCGGGGCAAGGGTGTGTCTCTCTTCTGGCCTGGGCTCTATGTATTCTTTCAAGTATCCGTCTCGGACCAATTTTTCAAGAACGATTTGTATACCCTGCAGTTTTCGGTGCGATGTCCGAAATTCCGGTGATAGGAACACCTAACCTTTTGATCACGGGTGGAGGGATCGCTCTGCATCCTGGGCGGCCACTTGAAGAACGGCTCATGCTTGATTTTATGGAGCAACTTGAAGATGGGTTCCTTGAACATAGTATGAACCCTTTGGACGAAACCCCTAGAGGGGGTAGCAATCCCTTTCGGGGAGTATCCTCCCGCTCCCTCTCTTTTCTCTTAGATTGGAGGGTTCGGCCTTTGCTGCTTCCCATCTCGTCCTCGATCCTTGAGTATTTGTTTATCCGGGCCATCAGCTCGCCCATATCCGAGGGAGTCTTCTTGGTCAGGGATCGGTACAGGTCCGTGTCCCTCGCCAAGCCGAGCCTGAAAGACGCCGCTGCCATGACTTTCGAGCAGCCTTCTACCTCATTTATCTCTTCCTAGTATCGGATGGCATACTGGCGAAGGGTCTCGGATTTCCTACGTCTGAGCGTTAGCAATGATCCAACGTCTTTGGGCCGCTTACTCCCCGTAATGAATCGAGCCAGGAACTGCCTCGTCAATTCCTTCCACGATCCAATACTGTTGGGGGGAAGCGCCTCGAACCACTTCATCGCAGAGTCCCCCAAGCTCATAGGAAACACTCGGCAGAGGAACCGTTGGTCCGAATGATAGAGGGACATCATCTGCTTGTATTGCCTGAGATGGGCTTCGGGATCGGACCGTCCGTCATAAGTTTTGAACCTCGGCACGACAAACTTTCTTGAAACCTCCATCTCTCCGATCTCCCTGGTAAAGGGTGTTTGTATGACCTCGTCTTCGACCTCATCCTGGACAGCGTTACTCTTTCTCCTGGATTCCAACCGGGTTCTGAGATCAATTTCCTCCCTGACGGGATGTCTTCTGAAGTCTTTGAGTTCATCAATAGGCCCCCCATTGCTTGGGCGCCGTGTGGATAGGGTAGAATCCTCCTCGGACTCATCTCCCTTCCTCCGTCTAGACAATCCTCGCCGGAGGTCATCCAGGGCTAATGGTCTTGCCTTCCTTGAATGGTCGTTAGGAGGGTGCTCGTTGGCTCTCGGTCGCTTTAGGGCCTTGGAGCTTTCTGCTTGTTGTTTAGATGATTCCTTAGATCCTTCGTTTTCGCCTCCCGGGCGGGGAGCCCACGAGAGAGGAATGAGTCCCTCGACCCTTCGCCGGAGGCGGCAAATTCGTTGAGCCGGCTTAGGACGTTTATATTGTCCTTTTCCAGTTGTCGTAATCTATCGCCAAACTTTTCTTCGATCACCTCCGCCAGCTGACGAGCCAGGGGGGCTGATCCTCCTGACCTGATTCCCATACTGGTTTGAGGGGTAACCCCTCTTGACTGAGTAGAGACATTTTTATTCCCATCAGTGTGATCCCTTCCTCCGTGGTGATAGGGAGCTTGTAATTCGAGACTTCTTTGGTGGGGACCTTTCTCTTTTTGTCGAGTGTTCACCATGGTCACTGTTCTTTATAGAGAAAAAACTAGAAAAACTAGTCGTTTTCCACAGACGGCGCCAGATTGTGCGTGTTAGATCTTGCACAATATAAAAACTAGAACATATCTCTCCCTTGGTGAACTCGAGTGAGTCAGTTGAGTGGTCGATCACGCTGCTTGGAACAGCTTGTGAGATCCGGTGGTAACCTGGAACGGTAATGGGAGACCCTCGCGGATCAAAGGAACGATCCAGTAAGGCTGAAGAAAGGTTCCTGGAACAAAGAAGAACAAGTTAGAAGGGCGCTGGAGTATTTTCCGGCGTATCCCCTCCGACGATCAAGTCAGTTTTGAGAGAGAGGAAGAAGAAAACACTGAGTATAATTTATAGCAAAAGTTTCACCTGCCGTTCTTGCCTTTAGTGAGGAGTATTTATACCTCAAATACTCATGATTGTTGTCAGTGTGGTTAGTAGGTGATCATTAGATACAGGCAACGTGCGCACTGATTCCTATGAGGAATGTCTTCTCTCTTAACTGCTCGGGACCCCGAGCAATCCAGTCTGTGTCATCGGCCTACCGACGGTTCAATGAGCTCCTCTCGGGGAGGATGCAATAAATGCCCTGCCTTAGAGACATTTATTGCCTTTCACTTCTGAGCCTTACCGCATTGAATGCAGTCTCATCAAGGGAATAGTGTAATTAAATGCTTGTTTTCCTAAGTCGCGTGTCAGCAAGGTCATGCGGTCTTTCTGTCTCTGATGTGACACAATATGCCACGCGTCCATTCCTCATTGGCTGTGGCCCCTGTCTTCCTGTGCCTTCTGACACCAATTGTGTAAGACGAGGTCATGATAGCTAACCTAGCCTAGTCTAAGCTAGTGACCAGTGCATCAATAACCTCTGCTGGAGCAGAGAACTTCATCATGGATGAGAGGGGTGCATCTCGGTACCGAGGAAGAGGTACATCTCAGAGCCGAGGAAGAGGTACATCTTGAATCCGAGAGGAGGAGGCCTAGCGACCGATGTATCATATCTGACCGAGGGTACGTGTCGGTACATAGAAACGTACTGGATGCCACTCGATCCCATGATAAGTACCTCGGGGTAGAGGGGACTTGTGACCCGATGAGTACGTGATCTCGATAACAAGGATCAGTGACATCGAGGACACGTGTCTTCATCTTGGAGTATTCCGGAAATGTCCCATCAATATATATAGTATGACCTTCTCATGGCTCTCCTACTCTCATTTTTTTTTGATTGTTGTCGTTTTCGCACCCTTGCTCCAGTTCCCACCCCCGCTCTTACTCTATGTGATCTAGGATATACCAAGTACATCAATAGTTTAACTAAATCTAGGGTTTGTTCTTCTTCCATGGTGTACATTGCACTTCGTCTTTCGAATCTTTTACTTGTTTTTTCATTTTGAAAGTGACTTAGAAATTATTTAAACTTGATTGGCTCATTTCTTTTGATCTAGTCATAATGAACTTGGTCATCAAATTATTCGGCTTAAAAACCATGTAGTAGTAGTTCTTGAACTTCTATGTAACTCTGTTCTAACAAAAATAAGAACTCTCGAGTAACTTTGTACGTATTGGTGTCCAAGCATTGTGTAATTCAAGATCTACATTCATGCTTAGAGGTGGACACTATTCGTATCGTGAATCAGAATTCTAAATTTGAGAATTGTGAATCGTAAGATTCGACACAAAATTTGAACAAAAATAAAAAATAATACTACATATTTAAAATAGACAAAAAATTGAATATTGAACATTATTGCATTCTAAAAATAATCAATTAACATAATCACGTTGTCTAAATGGAAAGACGCTGGTCTTTTGCTTAACCATTTTTAAATTCAACAACTTGAAAAAAAAAATTCATTAAAGAACCATGGCTATTCAAGAACCAAAATAGTGACACTCAGTATAGATTAGGTTACAAACTTGAATGGAAAAAGAAAAAATAAGAAAATTGATTGCGAGAAAACATACATGCCAACATTTTGAAGCAACAAATTAGAACTTAACAAACTATCCACGAAAGAATTAAGAACAAAACTCAACCGATGATGCAAGAGCGTTAGCTGTGATATTTGACTTTAGACAACGCAAGATGAGCTTTATACGACGTCAGAGATAGAACAAGAAAAGAGATTGAGTTTTTTTATTAGAGTGCGAGTTCTTATACAAACAAAACGACGTCGTTTTACTTTTTAGTGGATAAAACGATGTCGTTTTGCAAAAAATTTAAGTTTTAAAAAAAAAAGTGATTGAATCGTGCAATTTGTGAAATACGAATCGAATCGTACGATTCAGGTGCGATTCAACTCAAACGATTCTCATATGAGATATGAATCGTTTTGTACCTGAATCGAACCGAATCGTGAATTGAATGATTTTAATAACTATGTGGAGGTAGAAGGATGCTAATCTCTTAAATATTCTTATTGATGCATGGACCTTGTGGTTGTTTGGTTCCCCTCACCCCACTGCAAAAGTAAAAGAGAAGGGGGGGGGGGGGGGAGGTAGTTTGCTTGTTTTGTTAACTGACTGAATGCTTTTTGTATCCATCTGTGTTTCAGCCGCCAATTGGGGTGGGGCGAGTTGAAGAGCTTGGAACATGGTTGAGAAGGGACTTTCATGTCAGCGGCAACTGGTGGGATTCAAGTTCTGTAGATATTGCTGCTGCTGGTCTTGGTTGGTGTGCCATTGGACTCAAAGGAGAGGCTCGGTTAGGTGTTTGGACCTATGATGGAGTTGATGTTATTGTTCGCAATGCATTAATCCCTCACAGATCACACAATTTTGAAGTTGCTGGGTTTACGGTCTCAAAAATTGTCTCCAAAGCTGACCAAGCTTCAAATAAGCACCGCAAGAATGAAAAGAAGAGGAAGCATAGTGACTTAACAACAGCTGCTCCTGCTGCATCGTCATTATCTACAGTTGCTGCTGCTTAAGATGAAGCAGAATGTTCGGAAGCTTCACAAATGTAATTTATGGGGACCAAAAGGGGTAGGATTGGAGCAACTGAAGCTGAAGATTCTTTACTTTAGTAACCAAGGAACGCGAGTCACATTTTTGAGCAAGGGATGGAGGTTCTGTTACTTTTTGACGGAAGTGGGAAGGATCGTCTTCCTTTTCTCTCCTTTGTGAGATATGTTAAAATGTGGCAATGAACTGTGATAGGCACATTTGTCTAGCTGCACCCTGAGCAGAAAGAAAGCAAGACATGCAGACTTATAGCAGTGAATGATTATAAATAATCGTTATAGTAAGGTTCTGTTTTATTGCGCTGTGGATCTTCTGTAGTGAAACTTCAGTATTTGAGGTTGTTTTTTGACTGATTTTTGATTTTGCCTCTTGTTGATTGCAGTTAGATCTTATTTTTCTAAACTAGGCCATATTCGGAATTTGGCGAGTGAAGTTCTGCCCAATGTGTGCTGCATGAATGCAGTACTTGTATCTCCATAGGTGTTACTTCTTATAATATAGCATTAATAAATTGCTTGATGTTGACTACAAACTATGTCCTTAACTGGCATGTGTGCCTTTGCTACTATATCTCGAGGTGGCATCAGAAGCCACCGTTGTTTTTCTTCACTAAATTGGCTATAGTGCACTACCATTGTTTTTGACTGTTTTGGCTCAAGACTCTCTTGTTACCAGAACATGAAAGATGGATATCTAATTGTAGTCTAGTTAGAATTGTTAAAATTTCAACATATTTTGTGAGATAACATCTGTGAATTATTCTCCAAAAACCAGCAAAAATTGAGTCTGTGTATCCAGGGGTGGAGTCGGGAAAAAGTTTTAGGGCGGGAACATTAGCACGTTTAAATTTTTTTTAATTAACCGTTGAAATTCATAAATTTTTATTTATTGAAATTATGTTGAATACTTAAAAGTTCAGTAAATATAGAATATTAAAAATCGATATGAATAACTTGAACAAAAAAAATAATAATTAAAACTTCTTATCAAGAATGAGATTAATTATTGTCACTTATAATTGACCCTAATATGTTTTTATTATTTGAAAGAATTATAAATCAATCTTATCAACAATATTTCTTATATATATAAAATCGTGGTAACAACCTTCTATTTATGATCTTCCAGTTTATTACATAATGACACATTTTTATATAATAATTGAAATAACCTTACAATTTAAAAAAATTATAAAATAATCTCAATATGTTCAAATAATATTTGAACATGTCTAAAACGTGGTTAAAAGTTGACAATAATATTAGCTAGACCTAATTGAAGATTTAATTGGTAGAGACATAATAGTTTGTAACCATTGGATAGATAGTGGAGTTTATTAAATATTAAAACTCACTATTAGACTTAATATCACAATATATTAGGTCTTTAAATGATGTCTCAATAATATTATTCAAAAAGTTAAACAATCATTTAGATAAAAGTTTATTCAATCATATCACCAAAATACAATAATAGGGTGGGTACAATTAAATATATTTAAATTTTATTTTAAAATACATGTTCAATATGAAGGAAAAAAAAATTGAGGGGGACATGTGCCGACCCTAACCCAAGGGTGGCTCCGCCCCTGCGTGTATCAGTGTATGGAGAGAGAGAGAGATTTTAAGCATGCACTCACACGAAAACACAAACACATGAAAGAACAATCTAACCTCTTGGAATATGGTAGATACCGGCAAAAATGAGGCAGTGATATCGTTGCAATTTTAGTCTAGGGTGTGGAAGAACTAATACCACCTGAAAAGATGTTATCCGATTAATTGATGTGTTGGACACCACTATGATCAAGTATAGCACTGTAAAACTTGTCCTTTGGGTTTTCGAAAGGTATTTCGCAATATCTTTTCTTTTGCTGGATACGTCTTATCAATTTTTTTTATCCTTTTATTTCTCATTTCCAGTTATTTTACTTCTTTGAGTTTTGTTTGTCAGGATGAGTACTTCAATGTGATGGCAAATGTAGTAGGCGTTGAAATAGTGACTAAAATCTCTTGATATTAATTAGGTCATAGTTGGTAGTCAAATTCGGAATATATAAAACTTCAATCTGTTGGTTAAATATTATGTTATTCATGACATATATCATAGATGCATTTTTTGTGAAATTATTATGTATTAAATATTATTTTATAATGGTACATGCATACATATATATTACATTGATATAATTGGATTTTTTCTAGTTAGTATGAGTTACTTGACTAGAGGGATCCATCAAATAGTAAAATATTAGTCAATCCTACTTAGAGAATTTTTAGTCTTCTTTGACTGCAGAGGGTTGAGAGAATATTAGTGGAGTTGAGAAAATATTGGGAGAGTTGAGGATATTATACTGAGTGGTAATGACTAGCTGATATATCTTTCTTTATACGTAAGGTTTTCTGCATAAAGAGAGAACATACCTGAAAACACCCAATTTGAGAGAAAACCTATAGGGGAAAAATCTCAACTTTACTACTTTTATATCAAAGAGAATTTTTAATTTTCAAAGTCTAGCTCTCTATTCATCAAATTTATTAAGTTCTATTCCACAAATTTCTTACATTGGTATCAGAGCAAGGTTGTCGATCAAAAATTGATCACCTTATTTTGTTATTTTCGCTTAGAACGTCACTGACCTCAATAAAATTCATCTGGGTCAAAGGTTTTGTTCATATTTTGTTATAAACCCATATTCTGCCATACAAGGTGTCTAATAATCACACTACCAATTTACTTTTACTCCTTGCACGTTCTTTGAAGTTCAAAGACAAAGCCAATTTTTTTTTCTTTTCCCCTTCTTGTTGCTGGTGGTGTTTTCAACATTGCTGTGGGACACTGTTCTCCGAGACTGAGTTATTAAAAGCACATAATTATTTATTTTCAATAATTTGTCAATATGGGGTCAAAGGCAGCTAGTGTAGAAGTTAGCAAAACCGCGAGACTTAATGGTAAAAATTATTCAACTTGGAAATGTAGGATATGCTACATATTATTTCAAGAAGAAGTTGAATATGTTATTGACACTATAACCGAAAGAACCACCCTTTAGGGCTGGAGAGGGTGCTAGAAACACCTACGATTCGAAGAAAACGACAAATTAGTTAGGTCAATCTTGCTAACTTTTATGGAACCTGATTTAGAGGTCATTTTTGAGGAACATGAAACTATTAAGTCTGTATTTGATGCTATAACACAAGTCTATGGTATTGCTTCTAACACATATTCAACTCTTAATTGCAAAATATAATGACACTTTTATGAAAGAAGATGAGTTTGTTGTTGCACATGTCAATAAATAAATAGCTAAAGAGTTGGCATCTCTAGACAACCCAATTCCTGATAAAATGCAAGTTTCTATTGTTTTACATAGTCTTCCTAATTCATGGGAGTCTGTTGTGATTTCTTTGAATATGTCTGGCCAAGATTTAACAATGGAAAAGTTACATATATTGCTAGGTATTGAGGCCGAGAGAAGGGCTAAAAAGAAAACTAGTAATGTGTTAAACTTTGTTTCTAGTGCCCCATCTTTCCAATTTGTCATGAGTGCCTCATCTAATAATGTGTCAATTACTCCATATTTTCTTAAGCCAAAACAAGACAAGTATTTTAAAAGGAATAATAAGAAATATAACAAGTTCAAGAGATTTAATAATTTTAAGGGAAAACAAATGAGTACTTGTTATAACTGTGGGCAGTCCAGTCATTACAAAAGAAATTGCACACAAAAGAATAATAGTCAAAATGTTAAAGGATCAAGAGACATTGTGTGAGTGGTTTCTGAGTCGTTTCTTGTAGACTGTGACTCTCTTGCTTGGTGGATTGATTCTGCCTCTTCTCGACATGTGGCTAAGATTAGAAATAATTTTGTTGAAATAAAGGAGGTGAAAACCGGCGACCACAAGTTTTACATGGAAAATAATACTTATTGTGATGTGCTTAGAATTGGGACTATAAGAATTTCGTTGCCCGGACAAAACAACCTCCTCTTGACTGATGTACTTTATGCGCCTAATATGCGACGCAATCTCTTGTTTGTGCCACAGTTAGATGATAAAGGTTTTGAAGTCTGTTTTTGGTTTTCTAAAGTTTCTATTAGTAAACATGGTCATATTCTTGAATGGGGGACTAAAGTTGATAGTCTTTACCGTTTGAATGTTGCTAGTGATAATTGGTTCTTCTTCTGCTTATATCGATATCTATTGAGATGTTAATGTTGATTCTATTTTATGACATATAAGACTAGGTCATATTAATTATAATAAAATGAAAAAGATGGGTAACATTGATTGATTCTAAATTTAGATCTTGACTTGAAACCATGTGAATCTTGTATAAGAGGAAAAATGACTAGAAAGCCAATTAAAAAATTAGAAAGAGCTAAAGATTTGGTAGAATTAATACATGTAGATATTTGTGGTCCTCTAAATGTTAAAACCCATCGTGGTATGAAATATTTTATTACTTTCACTAATGACTATTCAAGATATGGTTATATATATTTACTAAATAATAGATTGGATGCCATAAAAAAATTTATTGAATTTAAGGCGGAAGTAGAAAATCAACTAGGTAGAAAAATTAAAATATGAAGGACAGATCGAGGTGGTGAACTCATGGCTGAAATTTTTGAATCTTTTTGTAAAGAAAATGGAATAATACATCAATTAACAAATTCTTATACACCTCAACAAAATAGTGTAGCCAAAACGAGAAATAGAACATTTCGTGACATGGTCAGATCTATGCTTAATCATGCACACTTAAGCACTACATTTTGGGGTGAGGCTATTTCTACCGCCATTTATATTCTTAATAGATTATCCTCTAAAACAATAGGAATAACACCATATGAAATTTGAAGGGGTACAAAACCAAGTCTTTCTCACTTAAAAATTTGAGGTAGTTCGGCTCATGTTAAAATTTTAGGACCTAATAGAGGGAAATTAGATATTAAATCAATAAA